CAATAATGACGCAACACGTAACAATTGCAATTTCTGCACCCAGTCGCTCAGACACTTCTGTCGCTCAAAGAGATATTCAAGCAAAGTTGCAAACATTGCCTCTTTTTTGTAATTTTGAGTGATATTTGTCAGTTTTCAGTTGTGTTTCAAGAAAATAATTGTGAATTAATTAACTTGATTGTCAATGTGTCTTCCGCTGAGCTTTACCTTTGTATATCAGTACCTGCAAACGGCACATGGTTGATTAATTTTAATAAAAATGATGGTTTCAAACGCGTAAATCAGTTTTGTATGCGCCAACACATCAAAACACTCTCAAAATAAGCATAAAGTTTGCAATAGTTAAGCATAGGGCAATTTTTCCGGGGTCAATGGTCAAGGAATCGTTCATAGCGCTGGTGCTCTATCAGTCCTTGTCTTCAGAGATCACCCTCGCCGGCTATCGCCCATCTTAAATGAAGCGATATGGGCATGTTTTTGTCCGTTTTGCGTGTTACGCCACAAAGGGTGTAGTGCCACATTTTAAAATACTCCCATAGCACGTTTATTGTGTCTTTCCCCCCACCCCAAATAATTCTTTGTCGGTGGTACCCGGCCAGTGTAAAAAACAGTAGAGTGGTACGCGGTCTGTAAACGGTTGAGAACCACTGGTTTAAGCCGTCTAAACTCTAACCAATAATAATCTTATCTTACCCTCATATAATATTTGAATTCTAATATTCAGCGTATGAATGCTCTTGGTAGAATTATATTCGACTGTGACTGGGGTTGCCACTTCTGAATACATTTTTTTTTTCGAATCGAATCTCGAATCAAAAATTTCCTAATCGAATCTTTCCGAATCTGATTCTATTAAGTTTTTTTTTATTGCATGCGTATATTTGCTCAAAGTCACAAAAAAGCTCAAATCTAGAAGAGAAAAACTTGAAAATGGAATATGCTAGTCTAGGTGTCATATATATTATATATATATATCACCAATAAATGCATTGATGAAAAACTTGCTGTTGCAACTTATCTGTGAGTCTTACAATACTGAGTTATTATTGTGTAGCTTTACACATGCAGTACTTCTTGTATCAGGATTGAGGCAATTTGATGGAATTCATATGACAAAATAAGCAGGGAACAGTTGTATTGTTATGTCATGAACACAGTAACAGCACTGCTTTCCCTTGTCTCGCACCAGTATGATATGTAACTGTTGTATTTCACTTCTTGTTATATTGCATTCAGGCCGGCCTTATTACAGATTTTTTATCTTCAAAATTTTAGTACAATATTTTATATTTATGCTAGCAGCATTGAGTAATACGACAAAAACATTCTAATTGCTTCTGAATTACTATAAATGGGAAATGCTTGCAAGAATATGCTTGAAGACGGTAAAATTAACCACGATTAAATTAAATTAATTTCGAGAAAAACAATTGTTCAACCGACTACGATTGCAAACAAAAATTTACATAAATATTAGAGACAATATTATTAGTGGCTAACAGCGTTATTGGCAAACTCGGGCTTTATTATTATCGTGGACTATGTTCAATTTCATTCAGTAACAGTTCTCTTCAAATGTACGCGAATTATTTCACTCAGAACAAAGTTTTAATTAAATTTCAATCAAAATTAAATATTATCTAAACGTCGTTGGCTGATTCTTTATCCCATCATGCCTGGGCGTACCATAACTTATTCGCAGCGCCGGTGTGCTGTTGAAAATTTTTATCAAAATTATCACGAATTTTCGGGTATACGATCCAATTAAATTCGCGCATAATAGAAACTTAGGCCATTCAGTGGAAAACTGAACTCGCAGTTTGGGGACAAATTACGCCACACATCATCTAGAGTGATGCGTGAAAGAGTGTGTTGTGCTAAACTTGAAACAAATGACGGCAGATAAGTAAAAAAGTCAATCCCGGAAAATCCATTTTCATTTATTTCCGTCCCGTAATTTGGTGTTTTTGTGAGTGCCGCATTAACGCATTCAGCAGATTTAACGCCGCCGAAAAACAACGATTAACAAACGTTCAATATTTTTTTTCGGTCCCGTAATTTGGTGTTATTTTGAGTGTCACATAAACGCCATTCAGCAGATTTAACGCCGCCAAAAAACAACGATTAATTAACAAACGTTCAATGTTTTTTTTCGGTCCCGTAATCTGGTGTTTTTTGGAGTGCGCATAAACGCATTCGGCAGATTTAACGCCGCCGAAAACAACGTTAACAAACGTTCAATGGTAAATCGCTCTCTTTTTCCGAATCGCGTAAATCTGATTCGAATCGATTCGGAAAAGATGCGATTCGAATCGATCCGATTCGTAAATCCAAAAGTGGCATCCCTAGCTGTGACTATTCATTCCTTCTTCGAGGCAATCCAACGGCAATAAAATGCATTAGGCGGATGCGGAAGCGGTTGGCAGACGTATTTGAGCGCTATGAGACAGACGTCTGTGTAATCTAGTCAGCATATTAATTAATGGATCTGGCTAGGATGAGATACATTTGAGGTTTTCAAGCCAAGGGAGAGACATTGAAACTTTGCTTAGTGTATATTAGGTAGGGGGAAACGTATTTGAGCGCTATGAGACAGACGTCTGTGTAATCTAGTCGGCATATTAATTAATGGATCTGGCTAGGATGAGATACATTTGAGGTTTTCAAGCCAAGGGAGAGACATTGAAACTTTGCTTAGTGTATATTAGGTAGGGGGAAATAAAAATTATAATATATACCGTATTTAATATTTCTCTCTATTCCTTTATTATTCAGCAATTAGGAAAAGAAAGATGCAAGATTTAAGCAATTACCGCCTTAGATTTTACGCGAACAAGAACCAATAGCCTACAGCAGCGGTTTCCAAACTATGGGTTGCGACCCACTGGTGGATCGCAAATAGAATCTTAGTGAGACGTGAAAAGATGTAGAAAGTTTTGATTAGTTATACTGGGTATTGGGATCGGTGGCGACTCGAATACGTAAATCTTCAAAAAAAAAGGAAATTAAATTGAATTTGAATTCTAATCTGTGAAAGTTTCTTTTTTACAATCTTCTCAAAGGAACAAAAATTTGCTACACAAAGAGAGACCAAGTGGCTTTTTTACGCATAGCAGTTTCCAGTTTTATACACTGTACAGCACTTCTTACCGTGTTTGCCCGAAATTTAGACAGGATTCAAATTTATTTTCTTTTGAAGAATAACACTATGATTTTTTTGGAAGAGGTCTTTTGTGTTCATTTATCAAAAATAGAATTACATTGTAGAAAACCACGAGATTTTTTAATAAACATTATATAAAAACCGGCTTCCATTGTTTTCATTTGTATGTCCTATACAAAAATCAAGTGACAAATGTCATAATTGTAATATCACACAATATTGAACAGTGGCGTGATCTTCACCTTACCTCAGGTCATTGAGGCTTTCCTCTCCCACACATTTTGAATTTATCATAAGGGTAGGGTTTAGTTAAAATCATTTTTAAAATTCAAATTAGTTATTATTTTCAAGCCAGGTCTTATTTTCGAGGAAACAAGGTAGTTTTGCGATGATTAGCCATTGCTGTGTTCTGTGTTATGTCATAAAAAGTTAAACGGGTCGCCATAAGCTGTGGTAATAAGTAGTGGGTCCCAACTCTAAAAAGTTTGGGAACCACTGGCCTACAGTAATATATAAATACTAAGTTTTTGAATGCAATTCCATAAAATTTTAACGATTTGCAGGATGACACTGCATTTCATCAATTTGTAATTTTTTTCATTGAAAATGCGAATTGATCGCGCTGTGCTCAACAACATGATCAAATGCTTGAAAATTGTATTCAAGAATTATTCCCATGATAAATAGTGCGAGATAGACTTAACGTCATGTTACGGAGTTAATATGGGATACGCAGCGAAATTCGTATCGCTGAAGGAGCTAAAAAAATTGCGTGTATACACTTAACAGAAAGATAATTTGTGATGAAAACAATAATAAATAATTGGCTGATTTCATGAGCTGTCAAGAGTGCTTCATTTCCGACTATGACTAATGTTTCTACCGGTAGGAAATAGTCTGTTTAATATACAATATTGCACGTTCATAGGTCGAGTTTATATTACAAGGTGAATTGTGTTACGACAGTAAAAAACGCCAACATTTGGGTAAGAAAGTTTTCGACAAAAGAAAGCTAAGAGATAACATTTGTTATTCAAAATGATAGTTTTAGCTTTTTCAGTTTTTATAACGTTATTCGGGTCTAAAATGTAGGAATTCAATACATTCCATTGGCTTGCTTCATGGACACCCGATCCTAAGTTTTATAAATTGTTAGCTAATGTAATTGGAAACGAAATGGATCGTTTTGTTATTATGTTATTGTCATTCTGGTTGGTATTTTTCTCCTTATTATTATTTTAACTATGCAATTAAAATCCAAAAATTAATGGATCAACTGGTTACGGATGTTCTTTCATTTGAGAGTGTAAGCGAACTCAGTGAAGAATATAATATACTGTGCTTAAGGCAGCAATATTATAGTTCATCATATACGTTGAAGTCGCTTATAAAGTTACGCCAGTTCCGACGGAAGTTCATATTACCTAATTCGCAGCGATGTAATGTTATTGATCTATATACATTTCAATAGATTGACTGTGTAATAAATTAATAAATATCAGATTAACATCATATTTAAGAAGGAAATATAACGTTGATAAAAGTTAGGTTCAGTAAATACATTGCAGTCCATTTTCCAGCGAATAATAATAATAATGGCAAATATTAATATCTTGGGAATTCCACATATTTTACACGCAGAGTCGAAAACGAAAAGATTGCAAAACAGTGTTATCGACGATATTATATTCATATAATATTGCTATTTTACAATTGTATTGCATGTTTGAGTTATATTTGAGTCTTGAAAGTGAGGTACAAATAGTAATTTTAAACCATGTCGGTGTTTACGATTTTGCACAGCAATATTTATATAAATATATATATGTTTTCGCAGTTAGTTGAGATTGGTGAAAAACTTATTTTTAAAAATGATGGCTCTGAAGCAAGTCTTTGCCGGAACCTTTGCACTACTTGATGTGGCAGCAATCTGTTTTATTCTTGGACATGGAATCAACTTTTATAAATATGAACTGATAAACCGATTGGGTGATGTAAAATTTGCCACAACTGGATTGGATTTCTTCATACTCTCCATTCTACGAGCAATGGTTTTGATTATAACAATAATCATTATCAGTACAAGCTCAAGAAAAAAACGAATCAATAATCCGGAAAGTTACATTCACATTGCTTCTGTTATGTCGGTAGCATATCTTCTCATAAAACTGCTGATATATTCCGAAACTGAGGATTTTCTGAAAAATTTAGGCAACGTACAATGGTTTTGGCTGCAATTTGGTTGGTCTATATTCGCAACGGGGATAACTAGCTTCATATTTAGAAAGTTAATGAATGGAACCAAGTGCATTATAGACCTCGAGGACGAATTTAAATTTTCGAAGAAAGGCAAAAATGAAGAAAGTGTTCCTCTTATAAACTGGACTGTTGACGCTGACCCATTAAGTGCGGACAAGCAAGATTCTAGTTCCAGCGGAAAATCATCAAAGGATCCAAGCGATTCCGAAGATACATCAAGTACGAAAGAGAAAAAGAAGAAGAAAAAGGGATTTTCTGAACATGCGCGCAAGGCAACTGCTTCAAAGATGTTGTCATATGCTAAAAAGGATATGCCAGTTCTCTTTTTGGCTTTTATATTTCTTATCAGTGCTGCATTGGCTGAAACGTTCATTCCTCTTTTCACTGGAAGAGTAATTTCAGGTAAAATTTTACCTTCAAGCTTCTCGCACTGGTGTTAGACTTTATCCATCCTGCTACACCTATGTTGTGTGAATTAATATTTAACACTTTTATAAATTGGTTTTGAAATGAATTCCCATTAAAGTGCGTATTACAGTTATAATCTCAAACTACGCCACCGAGGTTCTTGTAAACGATCATTAGTTTTCAGAGAACTAAACGATCAAAAAATCAGGTACTGTTTTTAGAATACACAACCCGTATCATAACTTGTAGTATTATGTATATAACATTCTCATTAACTACCGCTTTTGCTTTGAAATTTTTAGGAGATAAAGCTTGTAATTTTCGCTAGAAGACTATTATTTTCATTTATTTCAACATATTTCTGTGGCTACTATGTGATTCGTTTTTTGTGTGCGATGACGTCATTAAAATTAAAAAATTGCACTACTTGGGGCGGTTCCGCTTCAGCGTGATTTTAAAGCTGCGATACGGTATCGGTAGGCTACCGTGATATATTGCTTCTTGGCCATATATTTTAGCATCGCTCTCTTGGTATTTAAACTGTTACATGCATTTTTCTTTCAGTTATCGCCATTGAACACAACCAAGAAAAATTTACACAAAATATAATTATAATGATTGGGATTACGGTCATAGCGTCCACGTGTGCAGGGATGAGGGGCGGTCTCATGGTTTTGGCCAATACCAGGTTCAATATGAGAATCAGAAATCTTCTTTTCACTTCACTTGTGAAACAAGAAGTTGGATTTTTTGAAGTGACAAGAACTGGTAAGTTTCCCTTCGTTTCTAGATAATGCAAGGGAGTTGCCTACCCTATACCATAGAATATGCTGTGCGAGCATGCAAAGTTGTACGACTTCCATCTAATGATATTTTCTATTTATTCGGATACAAACTCTCAAATACTTGTCAGTTTATTTATTCACACTAAAGCCTATTAGAAGCAGATTAGATCGTTTTTCATGTGTAGAAAATAAAGCATTTTTAGTTTTGCCATGTAGGTGAAATTGACTTAGGATATTTCTGTTCAGTAGTCGCTTGTTCGCCTTCAAAACTGCAGTAAATTTTAATGCGTTTGTGTTTGTATCAATGTTGAAAGATTTATTCGAATTTATCATGATCAGATGTATAATTTTTGATTAAATCGTATTCAAACAAAATAACCAACGAATAATTATCGCGTTTCTTGTCGTTTTTATACAGGTGAAATTCTGTCTCGTCTTACGTCGGACACTACAACAATGAGCAATATGATTGGTTCAAATGTGAATATATTTTTAAGAAATGTCGTGAAAGGCATAGGGACTTGCGTCTTCATGTTCTCTTTATCATGGCGACTTTCACTTATCACATTCATCGTATTGCCTATAGTGGTTGGAATAGCGAGGTTATACGGAAGTTATTATAAGGTAACTTGATAAATCAATTTATATTATATATAACCCGAGCTTATGTGAAATATTTCACAAATTTGCTCGGAGCATTTGTTTGCCCTGACATGCAAGATTTGTAGACACAGAATAAAATGTAATTTGGTAATACTTTGTACACAAACGCCATCGCCTGCTTATTGTCTGTCTATTCGGCTTTATAGCGGTTAGAAAACTATTTTTCTAGATTAAAATATTTTTTAAATGCCCTGAAAAAAAATTGTGCAAAGATTATTAGTCATTTTTATCTTTAATATACCTTTACCAAATTTCGCCTTAATCCAATCTGAAAACATATTTTTATTTATATTTGTGTTAGCAGCAAATACTGATTTTGTTTTTAACCGGAAACAATTACTCACCAAATTCAAAAATTAAAAGCCTGCACAGACAACTTTCGTGTCTGAATCGAAAGTAATTCGATGTCGATCTTTGTTTTCATTTAGAATAGCTTCGAACGTTTTTTCATAGCAAATATATGCTGATCTAAGTCACTTTAATTACTCATAGAATGAAGCACGCATATATGCTCTTGTTTTTTAAAGAATTACATCCGTTGTTTATTTATAATTTCCTGTTGTATGCTCGAAAGTAAAAATGAGTCTTTGAATTGCACACATGTAACAATTCGCAGTGTGTTTGTTTTATTGGCAATTTACTTTCAAATGGCTGTGTTTCGACTCATTTCTTTCAGAAATTACAACGTCACGTTCAAGATGCTTACGCTTACGCTAATGAAGTTGCAGAAGAAGTAATATCAACAATAAAAACTGTGCGAAGTTTTGCTAACGAATCAGGGGAAAACATTCGCTACAATGAAAGAATGGATTTGGTTTACAGAATTCGACAAAAACAGGCATTGGCATATGGCGGATTCATGTTATCATCAGAGGTTACTCTTTCCTACTTATTTTGTGTTTATTCCTAATCAATGTGATATTGAATGCCACAGATTCAGTCCATATAGTTGCAATCGGCCGTGTATCTCCAAGCTCGATTTTAAATGAAAATTTTCAGTTCGCTGAACCAATTGACATTGGCACACTTGATTACATACCACCGCGTTTAATAAAAACACAGTCTTTATAATTAAACTAAATGCTAACGTTTTCTGTTCTACGTTCTACCCAACAGTTGAATAAACTTGCTCTCGTGACGTTAACCCTGTGGTACGGTGGCCACCTCGTTTTGACTGATTTGATGAACAGTGGTGATCTTATCTCGTTCATTCTCTATCAAATCACTTTGGGTACTTGTATGTCCAGCATTGGAAATGTGTTTTCAGGTGAGATGTTTGTAAGTAATTAAAATTTTACAAATTGCTGATGTTGAATGAAAAATTCAATCGGAAAACACTGTACATTGCTACCTTATTTAATATAATATGTATATTGTATCAGGTCTAATGCAAGCACTCGGAGCAGCAGAAAAGGTTTTTCAAATGATTGAAAGAGAACCAAAGATAGATATTAAAAAAGGAGATTATGCGCCAAATAATTTCGAGGGACATATTTCTTTCGAAAATGTCACTTTCGCATACCCATCTAGACCAGGACAACCCATTTTAAAAGTAAGTTTATTATCCATGTTGGGCTTTTAAGATTAAAAATAAAAACTAAGCTTAAGTGTTGCCTCCGCATTACTCTGTTTAGATTTTTGTTCTACCATAATTGTTGTTAACTTCTAAAGAAAACCCTATATCCGATTTATATATAATACAAAAATTCCACATTCCCGTCTCCACTTCCAAAAATAGATTTTTGTTTTTAGATTACCCAATTGACACTGATTTATTATATATTTTAAATTGCTTTCCAGAATGTATCATTTGAAGCTCCTGCTGGCAAGGTTACCGCATTAGTTGGACCCAGTGGAGGAGGGAAATCATCATGTGTTAATTTACTTCAACATTTCTATGAGTGTATGTCTGGCAATATAAAAGTTGATGGAACTGCAATAGAAAAATACAGCCACAAGTATTTTCACAAGAAGGTAAATGTTATTATTTAAATTAATAATTCATTAGAATACAAAAGAAAAACAAAAAACTATTGATAGGTTCACCTGGTGTTCAACAAATAAAATGATTACTTGTACTTTTTATATTTGAAAGGGAAATCAGTTAAGTTTACTCATCTTCTCTTCAGGTATCAATGGTGGGACAGGAGCCAGTACTGTACGCCCGTTCAATAAAAGAAAACATCGCATATGGTTTGAATGACAGCGAATACGCAATGGGAGATGTGGTTGAAGCTGCCAGAAAAGCCAATGCCCATTCATTCATTACAGAATTAACTCAACAATATTTAACTGGTATATAGTTGACGTGTTGTATTTTATTTGAAGTTTTGTTGTTGGATATTTGTTTATATAATGTGTTTTATTCGTAAATTAAAACAAATGCTCATTATGTAGAAACGGGAGAAAAAGGAACACAATTATCGGGAGGTCAGAAGCAAAGAGTTGCAATTGCGAGAGCTTTAATAAGAAATCCAAAAATTCTGATTCTCGACGAAGCGACAAGTGCACTAGATGCCGAAAGCGAGTATTTGGTGAGTTGGAGATTTGATAACTTTGGGCAGATGGACTAACAAAATATCGAGTCTTATGTTAAATGTTTTTGTATCACTTGGATTACTAACAGAGCAAGATACCATCCTCCAAATCTAAATAAAATGAATGTGCAGCCTAATGTAAGCACGTTCTGATGCGCGACACACTGTAATTATGTTTGGCAGTTTGCCTCCCCGCCTTCCACTTCCTATAATGAATGCAAAATACTTCCTTGAGAGAAGAAACAAAACTTGACATTTGTTGCATCATCTCCAAGAATTCGGGCTAATATTGATTAATTCATTTTAGGTACAACAAGCATTGCAGAACACAATGAAGGATCGCACAGTAATAGTGATTGCGCATAGGTATATTCTATTTTCATTTCCTGTCTATATTGTTCCTATATTTATTAAAGTCTGTCTGCATGCATTCCTGATTTTATTCATTTTAAAGCTTTTTTTATAAATATTTTTTCGATTACGCTGTCCTAGGCAACAAGCGACAACACCCAAATTATAGAAATAAAGCACAAACTCACACATAAAAATGAAAACGATAATAAATAATCTCGTTTTGAAATTTATTGGAAGGTAATCAGGCGCTAAATCGCTGATTTAACTGGGCTTTTGCTTCATTATAAATTGCGGACAACTCTGTAGCAAAAACCATAAATTTAAATACTCGTTTTTTTATTTTACAGATTAACCACGGTTGAATCAGCTGATAAAATAGTTGTCATCGATAAAGGTGAAGTTGTAGAGGAAGGTCCTCCCGCTGAACTCATGAAGAAGTCTTCAGGACTTTATTACAAACTTGTGAAAAGGCAAGTGTATTATATATACAATGGATAAGCATCCTAGTTACTCAATCATTTTTACCAATGTACCCGACTGGTAAATTCGTAAAACACTTTAAAGAAACATATCTATTAACTCTAATGTATCAGTTTGAACGGTAAATTCGACAACGTATTATGTAATTTTTATATACAGACAAATGCACAGCCCCAAAAGAAGACGCAAAGCAAGCGAGAAGATCCATAAAGAATAACGTAAATGTTGCATAGCTATGCATAGACCAAGCAATCAACGACGTTATAAAGCACCCAAAACCGTTGTTTGTAAAATCAAATATATGCGAGATTGCAAAGTACAATTCTAGATGTCTGAATTTTGAATATTTTTTTATATTTTAAATATTCATCCCGTACAATGTACGTAATGTGTACAAGAATGAAAACCCACTTAGGATGGTAATATGTTCAATTTGTGTCCTGTGCTATAATGATAACCGGATACCTCTTATTTTTGCATTTTAAGCAAATTGTGCTCTATGTGGTCGCATAAAGATATTCATGTGAAACTTAATGTTGAAAATTCAAATATATATACATAACGTTGATAATTGTTTGATGTGATGAAGAGTTTAATTTTGTTTGGTATAATTGTGTATTTGTTGACAGGCAAATTTGTAATATATATATATAGCAGAAAGCACGGAAGAGGGACATACAGACAGTGGCGTATCTAGGGTATGGCAGCCATGGCTCGTGCCATGGGCGCCGTTTGGACGGGGGCGCAAAAAACGCGAAAAGTCCTAATTGAATAATTTTCAATAAAACTTGAAAATGAATGAAACTCGTATTTCTAATTAAATCATAACAAATTCAACAAAAGTCAATGCAGTTTGCAGTTTCCAACGATCAATGCAGTTTGTTTCGTCACTTAGCGCAATTGACGGTGATGTCATAATTCAACATTAATAAGCCGAAATTGATACGGTACTGGACTTACTGCACCTCATATTAGCTCTGATATCGTACTGGAGTGAACATTTATGAATATTCGTACAATGAGAGAGAATGTTTTACAGCGTGGAAAGAAATTTGAGCAATAAACCGGAATTATTGACGCAGATTTCCATGTACAAATTAAAAAGGAAAGGCAAAAATGTAGTGGTATTCTTAAATGAATATCGCATGGAATAAAGTGTCTGGCGGAACAAAATCTCGCTTTGCGAGGGCACAGGGAGTTACTTCAAGCAGATAGTAATTCAAATGTTGGTCATTTTCTTGGCTTAATGAAAATCCTTGCCGTCCTTGATGGTGGAGGGGGGGCAAGGTCTTTGGTTCACGGGCCAAACATTTTGCCCGCCTATAGTGACGGGCCATGTAACTGTGACGTAAAAAGTTACATATTATGGACAATATTTCCAGTATTACAAAGCAAAAGTGGAAAACAATAAGCTTCCTGCCAAAACTAAATTTAATCGCAATCTATTCCTCGAGCTATTTTTCAGCTAAAACATCAAAATTTGGTTTTCGTTTGGTTGTGGAAGCATCAGGCGGGCCAGTTTGAAATAGCCAACGGGCCGGATTTGGCCAGCGGGCTGTAGTTTGCCCATGTAAGATATAGACTATGACTAGGCTTACCATACGTCCCGCTTTAGGTGGGACAGTCCCGCTTTTTAGTGTCTTGTCCCGCCGTCCCGACAAGTCAGCCAAAAGTCCCGCTTTTGCGTTCAGCCATCCAGCATAATACACAAACATGTTCTCGTTACTGTCTTTGCTGTGTAGCGCAATGCTAGCGTAGGCCTACTTACTGAAGGTGAATGCGTTATTTTGTTTGTTTCGTTGTTTCCCGCTCACATTGTTAGCGAACGTATCACATGTAAAATCAATTCTACTTGGTCCTGTTAGGACGTTCGCGTGAATGTAACATTGAACAACGTTTTTTTTAAACGTGTTATCTACAAGCATGCTTGGGCGAATAAGCAAATTCTCAATGCTTTAAAACGGCAGACTGTTTCAATATTCTATATTCCTTTTGATGTACATGAAAAATCTAAATTCGGATCATTTGTACCGTTAGCGTCTATTCCTTTCTATTTTTCGAACTGAACTCGATATTTAGACAGAGAATATGCGCATGAACTCTCGATGGCAATATGGTCAATGAAGACAGCCGGGATGGCTTAAATGTAGACCTATGTAGTAAAGTCGGAAACAGGAGGCGTCCCGCTTTGAAGTCAAAAAAATATGGTAACCCTAACTATGACAAGAAAACAGTGTGTGTCAAAGAGTGTTTTCTGGATTTCCCCAATCTCCGGATAGATTTGCAAATTTTGCTGACATTGGCAGTATCCATAGAAAATTACGATCGGTCGTTTAGTGAACTAAAATTAATTCTGTCATACCTTCGATCTTCAATTAGCCAGGAAAGCTTTGTGATCTGGCTATATTAAGTATAAAGAGGTGTGAAACAAAAAAAACAAATTTTGATTTTTGGCAAATTTGCGTCACGAAATATACTATTCTAAGATCTTGTTATTGCACGATCGTCTACTGCTTATTGTTTATTGTGTAGTTATTAAATTGCTTGTTATGTTGCGTAGTTGAGAGCAATCAATTTCATGTAAACAAAAAAAGGAAACAACAGAAGTAGGGGGCGCATTTTTGAACCTTTGCCATGGGCGCCATTTTACCTAGATACGCCACTGCATACAGACAGATAAAGTTAGGACGAACAAGTACGTTAGGTTTACTGAGACCATGTTTGCAAGATTTCGCAAACATAGTGTTAGGCCGATCATCTTTAAAACTCTTTTTAATTCGGCCAAACAGACAAATATGTCGCGGGAACCTGTGCCCAATGTGGCGGAAGCAATTGAACACAGGGTGGCCTTATAGGCAATATTGTTAGTCTTGTTGTATTTGTTACAAGTTTTTGGAGCGGAAAAAATTCCCCTAATTCTGTAATTAATGAAATTCTCTCGAATAATTGAAAGATATTAAAATTGATACAACGGTGTAATTGTACGTGTCTTTTTTTATTGTCCACCAGACAATTGAATTACTCAAAACATTGAATTCATAATTCAGTCAATTTGCTGAGTTGTCACACGCACTGAGAAACATGTTTTATCAATAAAGTTCCCAAAATCTTGACTTCCTCGGTATCTATTGGACAATTTATAATAGATTCGCTCGTGTACCCAGAAAATTTCCTCATATTTCTGGCTGCTGAGTTCACTTTGCTCTGATGCACATGATTGGACCAAAGTGACTATAAACTTTATAGTCACTTTGGGTTGGACAAAATAAGTCATGTGAACTGCGAAAGTAGACTGTAGAGCTTCTGCTGGGGTGGAAATGTGCCTTCCAAAGGAGTTCATTCTTGGACTCAGGTATTCAAATCATTATCAACATCAAGTGATCAGATTAGGAAGTTAGGATAAGAATACCCTTATACTTAATCTAGTGTACCCCTTGCAAGTTGTAATGTACGGCCGCCTAGCTCTGCACTAAAAGGACAAATGGATAGGCGCGCAGTATGGATCTCCGCCGATACTCGAGGACCGCGTTAGTTCACCGTTGTTAACTGGTAATACGAGATGTTTTTAGTTCTTTTTTAGCGCCTCATGTATTATCGAAATAAAAGACGGCGAATGCAAGAAAAATCCACAAGGAGTGGCAGGTTTCTGATCTATTGAATATCCCACCACCGTGGGTGCAACACTGTGTACTGGCTCGAAGTTTCAAATAAGGTTTTCACGATGGTGTCACTAGCCGAACAGACAACAAATGCTGGTATCATCTTCTTTGAGTTTAGCATCCAAAAATAGGCGGCACTTCATACTACCATAACAGCAGCATAAAACATATATAAACTTACATAGGCTACTGTTAAATTTATCTTAATTCCAAAACAGCTTTTAACATTGGTCACAACTCGCAGGGCGATACAATCTTGATATTGAAAGATTCTTCATTTAATCGAAAACAAGCAAAAACAACATTCAAAGAAAGCAACAATATTAAAAAAAATGACACTAATTACTAACAAATACTGAGAAAAGAAATAGACCTACACTACATAAACTTTCTCGGTAAGCCAACACTTAAATTTTGCTGCACTTTAACCTTCCCTTCTAGCTTTTTGGATACCACATCTGACTGTGTTATTTCAAACTGTCTACTAATGAAAGCAGCTTTTACTATCTTTCAGCATCAAATAATTGAAATACACCCGGTACACGAACATGTCTAAAAACTCTCTACTAAAAAGTAAGAACTATACACAACTGGTAAAAACTCCTCACAAAATAGGATGACTATTTCAACTAATCTTTCAATTTTAAATGTGAAACTATTCAGTAAGATATTTTTGTCAGAATTGTACGTCCTCGTTTCAAGTTGTATGATTTTGAGCAGAACGTGAAAAGAGCCCGAGTGAAATTCAACTTCAAGCCGTGAAAGCAAGATAGTGCTTATTTTACTATTTCACAGTGGAACAAATTTGCTCATTCGGATTTGTTCAACATTTGCATCTTTTGCAATCTCCAGTTCTTTTTCTTTCTTAGCTTCACAATCCTTGTCAGAATCCCGTTGATTTTTTCCATAATTGCCAATCCCTCGTTCTTTTGCCCAGTCTTTGGGCATCCACCACGCATTTACCTCATCCCTTTCCCTGACTATTTGCCGCCATTTTCGTGTTTTATGTGATTTGTCCAGTGAACAGTCTGTAAAAATGTTATTACAATCAAGGTTGATTAATATATATGCAAATTAGTGCAACTGTTTAGGACAGGGGTGGGCAAGGTTGCCCACCTAGTCTGGGGGCGGTGACTAGACTTGAATGTGCTTGTACTATGGTTTGAATTTAAACTCTGATGACTCATGGCTTATCTTGAACTACAATCCAAGGATTAGGGGGTCCCCAACACTGTTCACAACCTAACTCGCTATCGTCATGATCATCCATATTACCATCGTTGCATGTCACAGAAAACTGCTTGTGCTGTGTACCATAAAATACTATCATTTGTAAGTTCAAATTTCTACTAGTCTGGCAGGCATGTAAGTGTGATGTAAAAAGTCACATCTTATGAACAATATTTACAGTGTTACAAAGCAAAGGTGGAAAACAATAAGCCTCGTGCGAAAACTAAATTTAACCGCAATCTCAACAAATTCCTTGAGCTATTTTTAGCTAAAAACATCAAAATCTGGTTTTATTTTGGTTGTGGTAGAATCAGGTGGGTCAGATTGAATTATCCAACAGACCAGATTTGGCCCGCGGGCCGTAATTCGCCCATGTCTGGTCTAGGGGTTAAAGTGTTATTAACTATGAACGCATCACAAGTTAAAATCCTCAAATTTCATGCCCACCCTGGGTGCAACAAATTAGACGTGCATTGCTGGCCGGTCCTTCAAAAACCATTTTAGCCCATTATTTAGCAGTAACTACTAGTGCAGACCTTTTTTCTGAGCAAAAGTCATAAAAATATTTCGTAAAGGAAGTATTTTCGGCTGTTTAAAATTGTTTAGCCTTTACGATTCAATAACATTGTTTTTTTCTTCCTCTAAAGATAAGACAGTCAATTTGGCAAATGTTTGATAAATTTTCAGACTAGACTGGAACATTGAAATTAGTTTACCATTTTGAGATACTCAGAATAGATACTCACCACTTGATGCATGCTGATTTGATGACAATCTACTATTCATATCTTGGCATAATCTATCCTCAGACTATAAACAGAACATGAAAATACATTAGATGATTTCTGGGAAACAACAATAAATTTCACATGCAGAGCTTGTTTAGAGCAATTGACTCAAATCACCTTTTTCAAAAAGCCAAAGTGACTCGAATCATTTAGTCCAGTGGTTCCCAAACTTTTTTGACCATCGCCCCCCTAAAGTAATTTAGTCAACTTCATCGCCCCCCGGCACTACAAAAAATGTATAATGTCAGAAACAAATATATTACAGACCAAATGAGATGACAAATCATAGTTTATAGTGTTTTTTAATGAGATGGATGAGCTCGGTGTTCCTCAGCGAGTTTTTTTATTATATCTAAAATTACCCCGTTTACTGATAGAAAGGCGATTTCGTTGTTTTGATAGCAATAGTAGCACGACTGAAAACCCCCCTTTTCACCATATAAGAGGTCGGAAATGAAAGAAACCAGGGTTCTACCTCCTCAAAAACCGCCGTGTACTCTTGCCCTATAGCATTTCACTCTCTAAAATCATCCCATTTCACATTAAAATAATGAAAATAAAGTTCGTAAAAATAATTTTCGTACATCTCATTCATTCCTACAGCCTGATGACTTGCACCAAAATACCTCGGGAAAATTCATCCCCGATTCCTCATCCTACCACGGCCTCCAGTCCGATCACCAGCCCATAGAATTAATCAGCCATTTGTTTTTGGTTTCATGGACTCGGATGTGGAAGAAGCCGTGACCGACTATCGGCTACTGCCCAGGGGTCGGCAAAGATTATGTCGCTCGCGGAACAAAATTTAGGGTTGCTAGTCTTGTGCGGGTCCAATATATTTTTTGAAAGTTAAAAATGGGACAGCACGAAAACTGCGACAATTCATGAACTCAACTTAGTCGTCTTATTAAAAAATTATTACAATGACATTCAATGTGACACTGTCTTGTTGCTGTATCACGCTTGATAGCTTTACGACGCCAAGATTAGAACATTTTCCAAATGGACATCATTAATCCCAATTCTTTGCTTGTTCTTTGTAATGTTCATTTTCGAAAATAAGTGTTCGCACAAATATGAACTTCCAAACATCGAAGTGAATATTTTTACATTTCTGAAATTTTGATAAAGATTTTCTTTGAGAAGATACGTTCTTACAAATATAAAGCAGTGATGAATCTCTCGAATCGAATATAAATTTTATTTCCTTATTGCAAGAATTCTTTTCGATACTTTTAAATAACAGATTGTTGAATGGTATGAATTAGAATGATAGTTTGAAACAAATACCCCATTTTACAGGCAACAACTCGGGAACCACTCTCAAACAAAGCACCGAAAATTTAAAAATGGTGAAATATACAAAGAATTTTTCCGCGGTCAAAGGTCGTGGAAAGGTTCATTCAGTGAATCGTCCGTGCCAGATTATTTTACCCGGCCGTATTTTGCCGACCACTGGGATACGCAAACTACCATACCTTACTGCGAAGACGAGTTCAGCAATCCTTTCGCGTGTAATAATTGCCAACATGATTCAAGCCTGCGAATGCACACAGAGTACAGAATTTGGTGCACGATGCGCCAAACAAAAACAGATAACGCGAAATCGCCCCCCTCGACTTTTTCGCCCCCCTCTGTATCGTTTTCGCCCACTGGGGGGCGATATCGCCCACTTTGGGAATCACTGATTTAGTCTACATGAAATGAATGAAATGATAGTCCTTGAAATATAAATAATTTGGATGAAATATGATTTTGCATGTTGATTAATGCTGTATTGAAAAAATAAAAATTGCAGTAATAATTTGATTTGCCTTGTTGCTGTTGAGGTAAGTAATTACAAAACTTAATTTTGGTTTGATTTTCAATAAAAGTTTGGTTTAGCGCAGGATGGCAGTTTAAAGTGTTAAAATATATATAACAATTGCTTACAAAATCTCAAATGACCCTGAAAAGACTTGTAAATCAAAGAACATCAACTTAGCTTGTGACTCTGAGAGTGCGGTGACTAGACTTGGCAGTCAAAGTTTAAAATGAGCTTGTACTATGATTTAAGTTAAAGACTCAGATGACTCATCTTAGGATAGGATAGGATTTACATATTTATCCCGGGGAAGAGGAAAGCCGATAAGACGGCTTATCCATATGGCGAACCACGGCCTCTCGTCCAGTTACCATTCCAAGTCGGGTATGGGATTAGTTATACTGTATTGTTTTGTTTTCGGAAGCATGATCTTGAACTGCAATCTGAGGATTAGGGGTACCCCACACTGTCAACAACCTCGCTATCGTCATAGATTTTGAAGACTTATTTTGAATCTGTATTTAATTACCTTTGTCTTTTTGCCTGAATTAAGATTTGAAGGAAATTCCATTTGATTTGAATTTCTAGGTGTTGTTGGAGCACTCAGTGTACCAGCAGCATTAAAAGTTTCCAAAACAGTTGTTGGTGGAATCGGATTCATGAAACCTGTATTCCTGATATTACTTGCAGTTCCTGAGTGCATTCAATTGAAACTCTCATTAAATTCAATGAAAATATGGTTTGCTCAAAAGGATATAAATTGATGAAAGAGAAATGATATAAAAGTAAACACTCCATCTTCTGGGAAGTACGGTACGATGTTTTTCTGAAACTTTTACAAAGCAACGTTTCGTTGTGTAATTTATTTCTACAAAATTAATTAAACAGATTCTTATACTGTCAAAAATTAGGAAATTTATACAAATATATTAATCAAGATTTTGACAAATGGGTTAATCATTTTTCAATACTTGCATGAATTAACAAAGTTTTACAGTCACACTTATGAATAAATATTGATAGAAAAGTTGATGAAAAATATGGGATGGGTCATCATTATTGGTCACAGCTTCCACCACCGCCATGCCCTGATTAAATTAGTTCATTAATCGCAAACCCAATTTGGCAACTCGGTTAAAAACTACATTCCAGCATATTTATAACCTCTAGGTGAACATTTCTCAACTAGAATAAATACGAAACCTAAGGAAGCTTACCTGATAAGGTATGGGTCACAGGCAGGGTACTATAAACTCCTGCCATACTGGATTGTTGTGTAGTATTTTGTACATATTGGTATGGTTGAGCGGGAGTGAACACCTGATCATTCATTATATTCGGAGGAGTTGGAAAATAACATCCTGAAATATTAATTCTTGATGGTGTTGGTGAAGGAAATATTTGTTGTTGGCTTGCAATCTGGGAAGTCATCACACCAGGCGAAAGATAGGGTTGAAAATGTGGTGAAGACTGTAACGCAAATATAGCATGGTTTAAAAAACTTGCATTGTCTTACAAAATGAAGTTAAAATGTTTGAGGAGAAGTTTGTCCTACAATACCAACATAATTAGGGCATAGTGAGTAAATGACACATGGTAACCAAAGTCATCTTATACCAACAATGTTAAAATCAAAGTGTATATTGTATATTATAATTTTTAAACTAAAATTTAAAAAATCTTATATTAAATATTGATGTAACTTTATATTACAGCAAGCTATGGATCATTTGTTAAAACACATTCATAATATTACCACTCACCCATGGATTCGAGACATTTGTTTCCGCAAATTGGAACAGCTGCCTTTGAGGTATTGCAGAATTTACACAGAAAACCGGTTGTTGATAATTCGAGTATGGATAACCTTGTTGTTGAACTTGGTTAAATGCAGGAGATTCAGATTTTTCATTTGATAATAACATAGGAATGTTTCTATCCTGCATTGACATGTTAACCTGGTCAGTTTGAGTATTAATCTTGCTTAGTGGATCATATGTTTCAGTAACAGGATCATTATGGGATGGATGGTCCGACTGAGGATCACGATCTTCATAGCAAAGTTCATCTTCAAATGTCACACGTGAATGCTTTTTTGTAGTAGACCTAAAACCACTTTCTGTTTGTATAAATTGTGGGGGACACAGTCCTTTCGTGATAGCTTGTTTTGGCGGATGTAAAATTGTTTTTCTTGTGGATGTTTTCTTTTTCTCTGGTGTCGTTTTATTCAAAACGCGAGGAGATGAACTGGAATATACTTGATTATCATCTGTCACAGCTGGTTTGCGTGTAATGCTTACATTTCCAGAGTGAGGTTTTTGCCTGTGTCTGTTTGTGCTACTTTTCTCAACACAATGTTCATCTTCTTGCCTGTCTGGCTTAACGTTTCCCCAAACTTTTCTATGATCTTGTACCTGGTCACAAACCTGATTTGGTGACTTACAAGATTTCTGTCGCGTGGTATATTTCTTATTAGATGGAGTTCTAGTTAACGGTACCATGTTCTGAGGAACTTCATTTCTATCATCTTTACGAATGACTTTTCTCTGATGTAAACTTCTTTTATTTTCTTTTTCTTTTCTGTTTCCCATTTCAGATGGTAGTTTTGTTGGTTTTACATGCTGAGCATCATGAAATGTAGGACTCAATAATTTTCTATCTCTATGTCTTGAAGAGCCATGATGTACTTTGGGAATATCTATCTGCTCTCCTTCTATAGGACGAGGGGATATATTGCCTGTAAGTTATATAAAACTGTACATTGAAGCATTAGAGTGTTTGTTTCAAAGATAATGGACTAAAATGTTTTTTTTATTAACTTCATCGTTTATTTTATACGTAAGCAAGTTATTCCATCATATTTCCACGTACATAGGTCACTGATCAATTTTCGATTGGCATACATAGCGGCAATTCAAATTCTGAGTAGTACCGGTAAGCTAAATTCAGTTAAATTACCTCAAAAGGTACTCGAATTAAATCAAAAATAACTTTTAAACAAGTATAAGGTCACATTAGGAAAACCTTCACTTAAGTGTCTGCATATAAACCAATACTAGTTACTCATATTTACCTTGGCTATCTTTGCACAAAAATACTAATTATTCCCAATTCTGACAACTGCACCAGTTTTTAAAAAGTATACTGTACTGTACAATATACCAATGTTATGTAAATAGCAGTATTGGGGTGGTTCAAGTCATTAACAACTCGAGTTAGACTGGAGTCACCATTTATAAAACTAGAGCTGTTTCGACTTCAACTGCCAGTGAGACTCAACCCAGTGTTTGACTCAGCTTTAAACTCAGACTCGACACTCAAGGTTGAGAAAATTCTACCCATTCTTACCTTCAAGCAGCTCATTAGGTGTAGACTGTCTTCTTTGCTGTTTTCTTATTCTAGGAGCTGGAACAGGACGACAAGTTATTCTTGTTCTTGGTTTAGGAACTGGTGGATGATTCATCTCTTCTCTGACTGCAACCTCATATTTATTGGCATAAACAGGTGTTGGTACTAGCACTTTACGAAGTACCTTTTCGCTTTTTATATTTCTTTCAGCCATATTTGTAAAACTCAGAGGCTCAGGCCTCAATGCAACAGGTGATGTAGTACTGACTAGAAATGTTTAGAGCATGTTAAATTTAAAAATAGAGTGTAGCTCAGGTATCATGAATTAAAATTGCGAATAAAACATATTCACTATTACGAGCATTTAAAATCAGTTTCAATCTCCTTAACTGTTTAGTTTTCTTTAGTTTTGCAAAAAAACAAACTTGCGAAAGTCTACAAATATTTCAGACTAGCAAATATTAGTGAGGAGTAATTCTCAGTTTACCGTAACTTATAACACCAAAATACATGGCGCACAACCTGTGGAAAATAATAATGCCCTTCCCCCTTAAAATTATTGCATTGTAGAACTCAGTCAATTCTTCTGGTATTCAAATGACGATACGACCAGAATGATTTTACTAAAACTAAATAATCGAATTTCATACTAACCTCTCTGAAATACGAGTGGAGTTCTTCTTTCATTTACAATTGTGATAGGCGACGTTGGATCTTTGCAGTTTTCATGTTTACTCGAATCCTAGATTAGCCACAGCAATTGCCAAAACAGTATTAGAAGTTAGAACACTATTATTACATGTTTAAATAGATGATTTTGTCAAGGTTTTTATACATACCGGTAGCAACAAAGGTGCAGTGTCGTCAAATCACAAAAAAGTCTATCAGATCAATATTATAGATTCACATTCACAACTCTTAGACAACCCCAAATATCTAATGCTAACACTTCAATACAAATAAATGAATGTCACATCATCAAGAGAGAATAAACATAGCACAGGCAAATATAAATATAAAAGAATCAAATTCAAAAAAACAGATCTATGCTACACAAAGCTCTCACCTGTATAGGTGTGTTGTTTCTTGATCTACGATGTCGACGACGTGGAGAGCTGTCATGTTTTGGTGATGGTGTATGTTTACGATTTTTTACTGATTCATGAACTGCTCCAAATCGTTCGATTTTGTGATAAATTGATTTGGCCCCCACCGGTGTTGGTGTTCGTGCACTTCTCCTTGAATGTGATCGTGGAACCTTGGTAAACTAAATCAACATAATGTTCATTAACAAGAAAATCATAAATTAACATGACCTAAACATGTAAAATATATTGCACACATAAAATAAATGAAGAAAATTTTATCTTGTGCTATGTTTTGCAGGTTCAATATGAGACATAAGTAACATCCCTGTGGACTCATCATGAAGCAGAAATATAATGTCATACAAACACAAACAAATACTGAAGTTGAATGGCCGGTAAAACTACCGATAAAATAATGAATAATAAAATAATAGTATTACAATCTTGAGAGCTGATAAATAAATCAAGCTCATGTGCTAATGATTCAGGAAGATTGAATTGAGTATTTGACTATAATATGAAATGAAAACGGATCAGCAAAAACAATGGTGTTAATATTATTACAGCAATCATCAATATTGTCAGCAAATGATCAGATGTTACAAATAGGAAGAAAAATTTAGAAAACTACTCACATCTTGTTTCAAATGTCTTAGTTTTGATAATTCAATAACTGAAGAAGCAGATGAGGAACTACTGCTATCTGATATCTAAAGATTAGAAGAAACAAAAAAGTGTTGCTTGAAATATAAATACATCAACTGTATGGGCATTGACTGAGCATTGTTAACAGCAACATTATATTCTATATTGGACAAAATTAAAATCACATCAGCACTTACAGCTTATAAGCTCAGACCAAGTAATGAATATCTCATTGATGTTTCTTACACTTTTGATTGTGGATGTTTTTTTGCTTCAGCAGTATGTGAGCAAAATTGTTTATAAATATTAGAATGTGATACCTTAGTCTGAATTTGAGTGAATTGCTGTGCTGAATATTTTGGAGAATAATCTGAAAAAAACAACATTGGTTATCTTCTTTCAAAATATATTCAAATTAATTGCAATATGTATGTAATATTCTTGCTCACATTCTGTGCGAGAAACCGACTGCCTATAACTATGTTAATATCACAGATAGTGAAACTTCAGTTCAATTACACCACTTTACCCAAAGAGTAATAAATTGTGTACTCAATACTGAATTTTCTGACGTCTTGTCTAGAGCGTAATTTTGGATGTTAGAGGTGTGAAAAAACTCTTTCTCAGCATATTCAAAGATAACCATATTGTTTTATTGAAGTGCAACAGCCAAATTCTTGCATAAAATTTTAAACAAAAGCAAACATGTATTCCAGTGTGCAACAGCCAAATTCTTGCATAAAGTTTTAGACAAAAGCAAACATGTATTCCAGTGTGCAACAGCCAAATTCTTGCATAAAATTTTAAACAAAAGCAAACATGTATTCCAGTGTGCAACAGCCAAATTCTTGCATAAAATTTTAAACAAAAGCAAACATGTATTCCAGTCAAAACCATAGAAAGAGCTGCTCATAGACCCCGAATAATATCTTACTAACTTATCACCTTTAGTATTTGCAATATTCTTGGAATTCCTGTATGAATCCAGGTGGCTTTGTTTCTGTTTTGTTTTTTCTTCTTCAATACGAAATACATGAGGTGATGATGCCGATATTGTCTTCAAAAACAATGATACCAACAATAAAATGTCTTTATAAAAGTCAAGAAAATAATGTTTTTGTAGTTACAACTATCATATGTTATGCAAGTCTTAATTAATATTCGTGCAAGATTTTTAGGAAATGTATATGTGACTTTTGAATATTCTAATACTATTTGACAATATGTTACGATTTTTATTGTTTGTCGTAGATATAAGTAATACTGTTCATACTGTAACATGGAAGTAGGTAAGGGTATATAAATGAAAGACACAGAGTATATTCTTTATAGATACATACAGTTTGTTGAAACATTTGGTCTTGCAGGTATGTTTTGTCATCATTGGCAACCTAAATATTTTTATAGAAATATTATATATATGTTTGCAGCCTGATATTAAAAATAGAAGATTACTCAAAAATACCGTTTCATTCATTTGTCCTGCATAAATGAAAGGTTCACTTTTGCTGTGGAATTCAATCTTCGGACTTGTGGAATTTGGATCACCACCTACTTCATTAACGCACACACGAACAAATAGAGATTTACCCTAAGCAAAATAGAAAAATATCACAAAACAATGTATAACAACTAGAAGAACAATATTATTAATGACACTGACAGTTCAAATATTATTTAGTATGTTTTGATGAATACAAAAACTGTAAATATGGCAACATCTGCAAAAGCAAGATAATATCAACATGCCAGTAATTTGGCAGAATAACAAGACTGTGTCTCAAAAGTTTACAGACCACCGAATGCTGTCAACAATGACCTTGTAGCCAAGTCGATGGAAAATATAGTTCCGCATCCATTTTCATCTGTTACAATATAACATTCATCATTATACTCATTTTGAAATCAATATTTTGACGAGTAATGATGAAATAAATCAACTAAAGTTTTCGTGTTAATATACCAAATAAACATACATACCTTCGAAGCTGCTGCAGGATTAGGTAGTCTATTGTCTGAGAAAATAAATTTAATATTGTGTTTTGTTTTATTGATGTTAATTAACATCAAATAACATTTTTGTCCAATTTTTAAGCTAATAAACATTTTAAAAAGTTCATAAATATTGACTATTCTAGAAATTCTTAATGCAAGTAGAAGCCTATTACAACCCATCTCTGCTTATATAGGAATTTCGGCGCTCCAGAAGTATGTGTACCAATATGGAGGCGACTAATTTTGCTCGCCTATTTCACATAAAGTTGTGTAAAGGGACTGAAACCTGGACAGGGGTATATTCGCTTGGCTAACACAGACAGTCCCCGAATTTGTAATAGAACTAAAATGAGGAAAATCGAAATAAAATTATGGCTTAACAGCAATCTGGTACACATACTACGGGAGTACCAGAAATTCTTATAAATCTAGAAAATCACTCACTTTCATTCGTAAACTCAGTTGCAGTATGGAAAGTATTTGCAGAGGAAGTTGAATCGGAATTTTTCATCGTTTCTTGAGATATTTTTCTTGTTAATTCCTGTATTACACTCCCATATTTTTTTCTTTAATAAATAAATAGTAAAAGCATGTCAGATGACAAGACAACATATAGCACGAGTTGGCAACCTTGAGCCATTCAGCATCCTTTCCATCAATCTCAAGCTTCTCGGAGTCGCAACATCTATTCTAATGCCAGTGGCTATTAAGTATTAATACTCTCGAAAAAACGCTTACGATGCAATAATCTAGTTCTTACTAAGAAGAAGTCAAATCAAATATGAATGATGCAATAATTCAGACAAAATGAAAAGAACTTGTAAAATGAATAAAAAAAGTTTAGCCGCAGGCAGCCAATCGCTGACATACAGCCCAGCAACCTACATTGTTTGTTCATTTATTGTGACATAGTATAGTAAATTACAAACACCATTCAAACTAAGATACATCATCATGTACAGAATTTTCAACTTTATATAAAGTGTGAAAGAATGAGCAAAATCACTTGTACACTACAGTACACTATTGTTCATAACTAGCCGAACAGACCTTGCACGTTTCTTCTCCCTACTTTCATATTTTTGTTGTTTCAATCCATATGGATCATAAGACAAATCATTTTCAGAAATATCATCAGAATCTTCATCGTCTTGCTCCCACCTCTGATAGTTAAAAAAATAGAAGATATGGTATATGTCTATCTGATTCAAATGATTCAAATTTGATGAAAGGAAGAATTAGGATTTGCAATGCGCATTAGAACAAGACTAGTAGTATCTTTCCATGCACAAAAATTTGTATGATGCAATCTACGAAACAAAGAATACCTCATGATCATTTTTGTGAGGTGCGATATACTGTTCTCTGAAACCTCCATTTTGGTTATCAACTTCCAGACTTGCGTTTTGATATTCAACCATCTTAGCTTCCTGTATTTCTTCATTTATCAGTGAGAGATTCTAAAATTTAAAATAAAACTTAAAGTATGTCATTACAGATTCTATTTGATTGTGCACTAGCGAAGAGATAGTTGAAATATTGTTCCCAATTTCAACTACATTTTTCACTAATAACATATATTCCAATATTGATGTTCTTGTTTTCTATGATATGAACTACCAGTAATATCTTAACTAATGCAGTTTGAATCCGAGATTTATAAACTTCTGTGCAAGCATAAGATAGGATAATTTACCAATTCGAATATATAACAAGTACAGTATATAAATAGTTTAAATGAGTGAAATATCCTACTATGATATGCTGAGTAATCATCCTTGTTTCAATTGATATACAGTTCAATATTATTTGCTTCGCATTATCTAATTAAATATTATCAATTTTAACTACAAGAGTGTGAGAAATTTTGTATCAGAAAAACAGACTTTATAATCAAACACAGGTTTACCTCAGGAATCTTTCCTTTATTTAGTAAAATGTTAACAAGTCCAGCGACTTGCTCTCCTAACCAATCTTTCTCTGCAGAACTGAGTCTACGTCCTTGATAAACAACTTCAACATTTAAGGAATGAGTCCGCCAATCTTGGACATTGCAATGCGATTTCTGAGACGGTTCAGGAAGAAAAAATTCGTCACTGTCAAGAGCCGCATCTAGTTGCTGTGCTACACGCGTTGAAACGACGCTTGATTGTTGGCTCCTGATATTAACAAAAGTATAACGGGCATAATTTGAAAAAACTGAAGTCATGATTATATATTCTAAGATGCAGTAGGTCAGAATATTGAATAGAAAGCGTATTGGGCTATAGTACAGAGTAGGCTATAATACAGAGCTGTAAACGCAGCCTAACGTATTTAATAGTGGTCTAATAGTGGAAATTAGCTGGATATAGTCAAATATTACAAATATAAAAAGTTTTCTTGTACGATTTCTTGTTGTTGTTTACTTTAAAAAGTTTAAAAAACTTACTCAGATGCCGATAAGCCATAGAAACCACCATTTTCACTTTCTTCCACTGGACTTTGATAGTGAAAGGAAGGCTCCTAGGAATATTAGGCGCATATTTTTATCTTGAACGAGGTATTGAATTTAAAGTAACTAGTGGAAAGTATACATTCTCAAATTCAATCCAAACAACCATGTTTTACCTGTTTGCTAGCAATAATTTGCAAACACATAAACAGCAAAGCAACAGTCTAAAATTAGACTAAGCAATAACTTTAGCTCCAAAAGTAAAAAAATGAAACATAAGGTTGTGAGCCATGATTCAACAATTTCATTGGTGTAAAATACTGTTTATAAATGTGCCCAACCTGTTATCAATGAAATCATTGAGATTTAACAAGCTTTATTCATTGAATGCCTATATTCAAGCTGGGACAGAAAAATGTCAGATATTGAATAATAATTAATGGATAATCTCGGTATCTCAAACATGGATGGGTCATTCACCCGTGCAAAAAAGTTTGCAGAAAAAAGGAAATTGTAATATATAAAATTGGTTAGATGATTAAAATAGGAAATAGTAATAGGATTTAATAATACCATTAATGACAGACGATACATTACTATTCCCTGAAATTCCGGGATTTTATATGACAATTCACACTGGATAGGGGATATACACAAAAAATGAACATAATAAAATTACCTTTTGCTTGATGACATTGCTTAATCCCTCTTTTGCTAATAAATGACTTTTATTTTTAATAGGTGAAATGAAATCAACAGTATCCAACTCAGAATCGCCAGCGCAAGTACTTGTATAATCTTTTACTGCATCATTGTTTACAAATTCCAATAAAACGGCATCAGATGCAAGATTGTTTTTATAACTACTATCAAAAACAACTTTCTTTTCATCTGCTAAGTCGTCATAATTCTTAGCTTCATTGTCATTTTTAATAATAACAGGTTTCTCAACTTTAGGGGTTGATTGTTTTTCAGGTAAGGCATTCACTGATTCTTCATTTTCAGCGTGATCCTCAGAATCAAAAAAATTTTCATCTTCTTCTCTTTCCTTTTCCATCATCTGCTCCATATCCTCTTCATCATCATATTCATCTCTCTTCCGCTTCTTTTTAAACATCCATAAAAATTTTTTCCTCATGGGAGATTTTTTTTCATTTCCTTTTGATGAAGCTTTTCTATTAGATTTGGATGGGGTTTGCAATGCATGGAACGAATGATCTTGAGAATTAAGCTCAGATAAGCTTCGATCTAGTTGATTGCTGAAAGGCAATTCAGATGGCTCGTTTTCCAATGTGGCACTACATTTTTGTGTCCTTCCTGCACTAGGCATAGGTGCAGCTGTTAGCATGTTTTGCTGCAGTGCAAGGTGACTACGAGAATGTGAACACACAGATCCCATATTCTTGGTGATTGCTATTGAACAAGATAAATATTCTAGAGTTTTTCAGCAATGCTACATTTTGTATGATGCATATCTTAGTTGGAAAAAAAATGTTCAAATGTTGAGTTTCAAACAACTGTCAAGAATGTTATAAATATGGCAAAGTCAAAGTTTTCATGTTGAAAAAATTAATGAATGATGGGTTCTTGAATACATAAATTGTGAAACTCATTTCAGTGGATTTTGGTGTATGTATTGTACCTTTTAATAACTTTAATGTAGAACTATGGTACCGCATTTTATACTGTTATATAATATGCTGCCAAATAATCTGCACATAAATAGCCTACTTGGTTGAAAAATCTCTATTGGTCATTGAAAATTTTTCTTGCCGAGTCTAAATCACCATACAAACTAATACAGTAATAAAATAACAACAACACAACAATCGACACATAAAACTGTATCGTATTGCTGATTGGCATTCACGCAGTCTAATAGAAAAACTTACAAGCTCTCATAATGCTGTATTAGATTTCTGTTCATACTCACATGGGTACACCGTACAGTTTTACTGTAATTTCTGCATTTAGGCGTTTCTATATCTAGATATACCGATGGTGATATACTGATATCCCATAACGCCAGCCTAGTCCAATTTATTAACTAACGTTAAATCACGTTATACAGTCTAGGCTAGTTTATTATACGGCAGCCTACAGTCTTGTTCTTCATTTGACTTCTTTTCCGTAATTAAAAGTAGCACCTTGCGACAATTCTCTTATTGAATGTTTCTATTCAGTGTCTACAAAAAAAAGCATGAACCACCATTCGTATTGCAGTATTGCACTGCAAAATAATAAGTTATTCTACGCTGAAATGACATACGCACCCTGAGTACGTACTGTATTTGTCCGGCGGACCCTCGAGCCTTATAGATGTATTATGACGTCACGTACCAGAAGTCACACATTTACATTCGAGATATCCGTATTTATATCTATGGGAACGAAGAATGATTAACCAGTTTTATAGTAGTAGTAGTATATATTTACGGTTTTATGCGTTTCAGATGCATGAACTTGATGGTGGGTAAAAAAACCTATACCAAGTGGAATCCACCACATACGGGCAATTATGCTTCGTGACATTTGAACCTGCCGGTCGCATACTTTATAACCATTTTGTTTTATCCAACTTTCCTATCATCTTCGGATAACATATATACCAAATTAAAATACTGATAAACTTGTGAGGCGACACTAATCTCAAATAGAGCGCATGCCATCTCGCCACTGATACATGGGACATTGAATAGGCGGACCAAGCATAAAATCCTGATTTTACACATCAGCCACTAAGATATGAAAGATAACACGGTCCGGATTATCGAAATCGCTTTTGTCCTGAAGCCACCAGTAACCACCAATGAAGACAACTACAACACCACTGTCGTCCCGTTATTTTCCTTAATTGTATATTTTGGCTGTTGCTTAGATATGTCTTTTAGGATAATCTGAAGCAGAGGCAACTATTTTCTATGAAACCATTTATTTCAGAATCAAATATATCAGCCAGGAAAGACACTAAACACATGTGATGTGCTTAATCGAAATAAGATTCCTACATCTAAATTACGACAAATTGTGTAAAAAATTTGCAGTCATTTCAGCTTTTGAACAAGCTTTTGAACCTCAAACCATGTTCCACCAGAAGCATTGGTCATGATTGGCACCATGAATGAATGAGCTTTAAAGCAAGGGCAAATGCAAAATATTAGCAGGAAAACAAAGAAAAATTGGTAGTCTCTTCATTTCAGCTCTTATATATTTATACAAAAAATTTTGAATGAGTTTCCTTTCTAATGAGATAAACTTTTTTTCCATGATGTTTGTCAGCCATATCCATATTTAACCAAAGAATAGATTCAATATGCTAAACTGCAGCAATACATTGCGAAGGCCACCAATTTCTAGCCAACAAAATTATTTACATTATACAAAATGATACATGCATGACATCTATTATAAGATTACATGAGTGAAAAGCAAAAAAAAAAACGAAATTGCAAGGACATCACTAACCAATACAGATAGCAGATACATCGTTCTCTTGGATTAGGTAACTCTGACATGCCCACTTACAATTACAAAAATACAAATGCTAATAACATGTGTCATTGGAAAAGAAAAGCTGTGCACTACATTCTGAAAAATTAAAATATGCAAAAAGTTACCAATGAATTGCATTAACTCTTACGGCATTCATTTTTGGGTATGGCTTCAACAATTATCTTTTGATTGATGGTAAATAAATTTGCACAGAATGACACTATGATACAAAAAATAAAAACAAGCATGCAGTTGAAAAATTATTCTATATTTGCTAGTCAAATTATTTTACAAGGGCCGAAGTGTGCAGAATAGTCGATTCAATCCATGCTGTAACAAATTGGTGGAAAACAATGACAATACGAAAAACTTGTGATGATACAAAACAGAGTGGTAACACACATTTCCTAAGTAAAAACGCCAGTAACCAAAATCTCAATTATCACGATAAAAATTGTCAGCAATTCCAAGAGTTCAACATCAGTTGCTTTCTTCTCCGTTCGCAGTGAGTATATATCTTTGGCAGTGAGTTAATATCACTGCAAAATGGGTTTACAAATGTCACTTCTTCTTACACAAATTCAGGAATGTTCAATACTTCTCATTTCGCTCACATCACTACACATGACTTTTCTCCTTCTGACTGTGGTTCTCCCTGTTAAATTTATTATATACAATTACAATATGAATAAAATAAAGAAAAATACAAATTGAACAGGGGCTGGAACTATGAAAGTCAGAATGTCACCAGGTGGCAGGTTTTAAAATTAATTGTTTGCAGATCAATGCTTGCAGTTTTAGCTTACCGTATTTTATGGAACATTCAAATCCCATTTTTTACTCAAAATCTATCATGAGCCTTATAGGCCGGTGTGCCTAATGTATGGATCGGGTGGTGCTTTATGGTTTATCACCTAGACGCCTACACTCAAGACCAGTACCTTTACTATAAATTTATAAACAAACCATAAACGCCATTTTAAGTTTTCTTTGTATAAATTACAATACCCATAAAAAATATTGAGTTTTTTGTTTGTTTAATAAGCGTTGTATGGTGCACCTCATAGCCCAAGCTCAATAGTATGTATAGGCTAATTTAGCAACTTATTGACTGTGTGCCTCATACTGTGAAAACCGTATGGTCTTCAAAATACGGTACTTGCAAAACACAAGCGTAATTCCGGTTGTCCATAAATTCAGTCTAAAACTATTCAATCATACTTGAGACCGCCTAAATTACTGTAAGTTGAATTAGGTTGAGGGTGAAAATATATGTTTTAAAAGTTGAGATGGCAATATGAGCCCCAAGTATAAGTTAGACTGGTGACTATCATATGGTGGAGTATGAACTGTTTTAATCCTGTTGTGTAGAATCTATTACGTCATGAAAAAAATATCTCGAAGGGATTTGTAAGGGATCAAGAGACACATATGATGGTTAACCCTTTCAATGCGACTTCCATTTTGCCTCGCATAATATCTAACTACCTGTTCATGAAATAAATCTTCCTTCCCTACCTCAAGTGTGCTGCGTTGACGAGTAGTCTGTTCAACAGTGACCGTCTCCCGTGTGATGGTCGTCGTACCAGCAGATGCACTTGCACTAGAAGAAGTGTCCTGTTCCAAGGGTAACAAAGAAAAGAATATATAATAATTAGTGACATAAATATTGCAAGAACAATTGAAAATCAGAGCTACCCCATAATGACTCAATGTCGAATTAAAAATGAATGTTGACAATTTAATAATATTGCCAGATTTCCCACACAAAAATTGTTACTTCTCTCATTTTTTAGCTACATATGGAATTTCCATAAATCCAACTTCCTTGTTTATACATTGGCAAGCAAATATTGACACATAGGAGTATGCATCATGTTAACTTCCTTATATAATTAAGATAAACCCAGAAAGGCCTGAAATGCAACATTGCAGCACATCATAACTCAATAAGGAAAGTTTTTTTTTATAAATCAAGACACCTGTTCATGATACAATTCTGCTTTTTCGGCTAACATAATATCATTGAGTTGAATGTACAATTTCTGGTTCAAAATATACAAATCATCCTATTTATAACCTGCTATCTATTCCTAACCGTCAGACTAATGGGCTAGCGTGTAATTGCAATGTTTTTGATTTTTGCATCATGAAAGATATTTAAAATTTACTCTAAATAAATTTTTCCAATAGTATCCTTTTCCTGGTCTGACAGGAAGCAATCATGCTCCGAATATCAGTATGGCATAATTATAAACAATAATGAAAAACCTTACCTGCTTCTGTTGCTTCATTGATATTTCTTGACTCTCAGTTTGTCCAACACGCTTGCGCTTTCTGCGGGCAGCACGAGTTCTCAGCTTTGAGTCGCTTTCAGTCTGTCCTGGACTGATGTTCAATCTGAGAACAAGACAAATTTTTTAACCAGAGCCAATCATTTGAACTATAATCAATATTATTTCTCCAACAAATAAGAAGACTTGGGAAATGACTGATTTTATTACATCGGAAAAGCTATGAAAGGTGAAAAAAACATGATCTATATTAAAAGATTTTTATTATTTATTCATATTAAGAAAGAAGAGATAGTTTAAATGATGGTAACAGAAAATAATCTACACAGCAATCCTACCTAGCCTCTTCTTCTTCCAGTAATTTACGATATGTGCTAATTTCCATGTCAAGATGCAACTTCAGATTCAATAGTTCAGCATACTCAGTTTCCATTTCATCGAGTCTTGAACGAAGCTAAAAGAAAAAAACAAAAATTTAACTAGAATAGGGGCATAACTTTATAACTCATACAGTATTATTTCACTTTCAAAGTACAGGCTATTTCGCAGCATTATGGGTCGACAGTTCATCAGTTAAATTTTTCCCTTTGGTTTTATTATTCCTATATAAGTGATGCACTATGCACTATCTCTAAGTATATAGAGTCAAATATTATATTGAAAGTTTCAGATGCCTTTATAATTTATTTGTAATCTGAGGTGCTATTAGAAAGTGTCACTAAACCAGAACGAAGTTCTAAAGCTTTATGACTCAAATTCTTTCCTTGTGAGCAATAATAAAGCAACACATTAAACAATACCTCATCTCTTTCCTCTTCCACCACTGCCACAGCTGCTCTCTTCAATTCAATGGCAGCTTCCAGTTGTCCTTCCAAATCTCCAATTCTGTGCAAAAGTTTCTTATTCTGAAAAAGAACAGTGTTTTTAGTTTAACTAGTAAGCATTCAATTTCTTCATTTAGTTGAAAGTCAATCTAGGTATGAAATCTCTGTGCTTTGAGTAAATGCTGAGTAAATAGAAGTACCAGGCAATTATTTGCATGGCAGTAAAGTCTGTCATGGTATAAAAACATGATATGGTTCAACAAAATATCTGAATCTTATTTCTCTATCTATTACAACACAATAAAAATGTATTTTACCTCACTTTCCAAGCTACGAATAGTAGTCTGGAAACGATCAATTTTCATTTGAGATGATTTTGATCCTTCCTGCAATTGTGTCAATAATTTGCGAGTTGAATCAACTTGTGCCCTTGCTGATTCAATCTGAGAAAGAATGAAAAAATTACAATTGAGGCAAAAAAAAGAAAGACACTATTTCTAAACTTCTGCACAAGTTATTTATCAACAAATTATATCATTTCTGACAAAAATCAATAAAAAATTCGTACTAAATTCAATAGAATATAATTATAAAAATAATTACTAACTAGGAACGTAATCTTAAGATTTAATAAAACAAAAGATCCATGTTCCATTTATCAAGAAATATGATAATGCAAGAAAATTATATTCCAAAAATATTAGAACTTATTTTGATATGTTTAGCTGTTAACGAAGCCAATTTACATTTTGGCAGATGGTGGTTTTTTGATGAAAGAAAGTATTGCCGTGAGACATACTGGTATAGATTATATAAAAATCGAACCTTCGCTTTGTATTGACTTTCCAAATCATCTCTCATTTGGTCGATTTCATAATTTTGCTGGTCACGAAGATCGGCAATCGCAGCTTCCAATCGACTTTCATAATCCACTTTGATATTTTCATCAATTTCTGTCACACTAACATCATGACGTCTACGAGATTCTCGAACTTCCTGGAAATAAAATTTGAGATTTCCAGCATTCAGGATTATACAAGTCAGTTAGAAATTTAATTTAAATACACATATATAAAATTTAGTCATCATAGTAGTCATAGATATAATTATAAACCTCAATCATTCTTTACATGCACAAAGACCTTCCATAATTTATTACAGAAGAGGTGTTATCATATATATGAAATATGCTTTTATAAACTTTTATTTCATACAAGCCAAAATTGATGAAAAATTTTTTTAAGAAAATTCGTTCCAATCAAGGCCACACACACTCACTTAGACGTGAAAAAGACTCATCTTAGAGAATTTTCCTGGGCGAAGAATCAAGGTGCACCATGACTCAACATGAATACAGCATTACAAATATTGCATTTCAAAATTCAATAGATACTGAATATAATGCTGACAGCATTAAATGTGAATAGCAACACACACATACAAATTTCATCTCAATTCCATAGACACTCAATATAATCATGACAGTTTTAAAATTACACATAAATATCAATAAATTATTTTATCATAGAAAACTATGATCACAAAGAATCTACACAAAATCGTAATATAAATTATGTGATTTTCTACTGAAAACAAGCCTACCTCCTTCCACAGCTTCTCTTTAAATTGCAAATCTTCTTGTAGTGATTGAAGTTTGTTTTGATATTCGATTCTTTGCAATGTTTCCGATTCCAGAGTTTTCCTTGTAGTTTCCAATTCCTGGGCCAAGTCATTCACTTTAGCTTTGAAAGAATCTGCAAGATAAATTCAACAGTACTTTGAAATTGAATAATTGCAAGCCCTTTTCAACATCTGTACATATCAATTGTTCTCTCTGACAAATAATTATCATTAATCAAAGTACAAATCAATAATAAAAATTCTTTTGCATTTTTAGACTCTCAATTATCAATTAAATTAGAATAGTGATAATATATTCATATATACTATGTTCTGAATAATATACATATTATTTTAAATTCTTGAATTGTAATATTTGATATTGCAGAAGCCCGATTGCCCGAGCTTATCAGCGTAACTGCTGTGTTTCATTTGAGCATAAGGCTTATTCTAATGATTAAATAATTTCGAAAAGGCAATTCATGGTTAAACAATCATATTTCCTAATTTACTTGATGACAATTAGTACTTTTAAATTACCAATAACATAATAATGTCACATAGTCGGATTTTATACTGGGGTCCTTATATATCCTTCTCAACACTATCATATTTAGGAGCTTTAATGCTTAACATACCCAGTTGAGCAACAGCATCATCTCTTTCTTTCAATGCATTTGCAGTTTGTGCTTCTTTGGCTCGCAATCTCTTACTTGCATCTTTCAATTTTCCTTCAAGCACTGAATTATCATGTTCCAAACCATCAGCTCTGAAAAAAATATATAAATGATTTGATAAATTTTATGCCTTGACTTCTATGTAATAATACAATTACTTTATATTTTTCATTCATATCATTTAATGAAGAAAAATGGTGAATATCAGTTTAAATTATCTTAGCAAAGAACATTTAAATATTGTAGTAATTGTGGCAATTAATTAGTCACATTCAAGAATTGGCTGTGAAAGACTATAGGCAAGCTGTGCCCCCATTCGAGAATTTGTCAACTAGGGATCAATAAGCTACAAACAACAGATGGTAAGGCGAGAGTATGTTATATTCAAAAAACATATTGAAAGTATGTGCACATAATAAAGAAATGTAAATATTCAAAATAATCAGGCGAACAATATGAAATCTAACAAATATTTTTCATTTTTATTTAAAAAAAAACTCAAAAAATGCCAATAAACTAAGGCTAAATGTTACATCCATTTGTCATTGCGCTAGTAGACAAACTGTTACTCTTTATTTAAATAAATATATTTTACCTCCATCAATATTTACTAATAAATATAGTTTTGGTGGTTTAAAGTATGCTTATGCCATACAATAAAAAAATATTATTTACTATTTGAGGTGTTTCGGCGTGGAATAGTTTATTTAGTTTTGTGGGTGTTGACTGGGCTCAAATTCCTAAACGTGGATAGGCTAGCATACCATCCAGTTTATAAAATATCTTCTTTAGCGTCATAGGATTGACGCAAATATACGCGATAGTATCGGCAAAACACCAGTGCAACCGGGTGGAAATCGCTTCAATCGAGATAAAATAAAAACACAAATATCTAGAAGCGATCAAATACCCTTCGGCATACACCTAACGTAGCGATAGCAGGCGGCGGGAAAGAGTGGGCAATAATAATAATAAGGAGAGAAAAAGGAAGCGTGTGATTGTACATTTTCCCGCCGCCGGCCGGTGAAATCGATGGTACAGATCTTGCCAACGTTTATATTACATTTCCTCTCTCGTTTGCCGATTCGACCCAATAACATCGCATTACATTTTACTATGCAACTTATACTAATCGTAACATGATTGTGTAACATGATATACTATACAATATATTTCATTTACACTATACTACACTAGGTACGTGGATGTAATTTGTCGTCAAAATTTGATGCTCTTAAATAGAATGGTCAGAGAACGCAAATTGTCCGGAAGCCTCTTTTACGGTTCAATGCAACAAACAGTTCAAACTTACGCACATGACATTTTTCGCGAGCGATAATAACAAGGCAATTTATCCGCACCAGTTCATCGGGTACATCGCGTAATTTAAAGAAATATTGCATAACGGAATGCCTAAAACGCTTGCGTATTATCCCAACGTGATTGGATGACGGAATGAATATTTAGGTCACTATACTAGTTAGTAGTTACCGGTATATAACAAATTGTGAGAAAATTTAATCTCGATAAATGAGCGCATACAACGACAGTACTCCCGTATGGAACGCCCACCTTAGACTCAATCAAAAATCGAAGACGTCAAGCGGAAGTCATCGACAGGCCTTGCCCTCACCACACATTCTATCCATGATCCATAATTGGACATGTGTAATCATTATCGTTTTGCTTTTTTAGACCCAAGACATATGAGAAAAATTGCCGAATAAGAAACTACAAATGGTCAAAACGGATGACCGTGGAAAGTTGAATGATACTATTTATGTCATATTCAATATTCAAAATCGTGTTCATCGTGCATTTGTGAGAGTACTTTTCCACGACGACAACGTAACATCAAAAACTCATATTTACCCGTTCTAGCAATGCGATGAGCACTCGAGCGAATAATTTCGCACAACCAACGCCCCATAGGCATCGGTGTTCAGCAGTCCGTGAATTTATTACAAAAGCGACCCAATAAAAATTCTCCCTCGTGTTTACGACACCGAATAATCTTCCCGCCGAAACGAACACCAGCCACATAGCAATCATAAATGGACGTCTGTGGGCCGTCTTAACTCAACGTCGTTGTCCGGATTGTAGTATAAGTTAATACAATGCAAACACGCATTTGAGTACCTTCGTTTCAAGTACTACTAAGAATAGAAATGATCAATCACATAAGGCTCACGCAAACGGCGTCAGAGATTAACTAATTTTATTAGGTGCGAAACAATACTTTGACAACATTCCCACATTGAATTGGAGCAACCTTAATTGGAGAGATTAACTCAATTGTATCCACAAAGCAATTTTAATGACCATGATGCCTTACTTATTAATATAGGTCAAATGCTATGTTGCAGAGGTTAGGACCAAGCATGAAGGGCATTTATGGGAATTTGGTTATTTAAAATATGGGCAATAAGCAAAATTATAACTGAAAAGCATATTGTAACCACAATATCATAGAGAGATTAATTAAAACAAAAATGTTCACCACATGCTTATAATGCGCTGCATAATGATCATGTTAATAGTAATGAATTAGAAGATTGCGAAGATATTACATAGCGAATTTTTTATAAATCAATCAAATTAAACATGACATATAAATTCCTTAGTTACAAACATCAATTTGATCTTAATATAACAAGCGCCGAAGTAAACTTTATTGAAGCAAGTGGGATAACACATTTACAATTCACAGAACTATTGAAAATCTGAACAATGCCAGACTACTCGAGTGCTTATTCATCAACATATAGGGATCAAATTTCTGTATTGCAGCGACAATAATAAATTCAAATTAATTACGCCTGAAACGCTCACCTACATTGTAGAAATTTAATATTGAAATCAACCGACACTAAAGCTCCAAACTGTCATTGAAGAACTTTATCTTTCTCTGAACTACACTCTGACCAGTTAACACCATAAAACTCAAAAGCAAGTTCCGGCCAAGTTTTTCAAAAAAAAAATTCGATAAAGCGGATGATTCAGCCATAGATTGATTTATAACAATATTATTTGAATTCGTTCATCAGAATTCTTTCCATAGAATTTAAAAACTTATCAGAAAAGAGCGTACAATATCAAACAAGCTATATTCTATATATAAAATGTGTTTAGAGATAGCTGGACAATAAAAAGTCTTTTTCTAGTTTATAATGATAAAATTTCATTAAAATTGTCATTCTTATTAAATAACATCAAATATGAAGGCACAAATATTGATAAATAAATTATTTCGATATCCACAACCTGATGTTTCTTTAACTAAGCTGGCAGATGTTGCTGTGGAAATGTGTGGATTAATTCACACTCGCATTTTGCTAAAATTAATTCACACCAAGTCATATTCAAAATTTATGATTTGTCAGACTTCCAGTTCCAGGCATAATAACACAAATATATAATAATTAAAACATCGACCCCTACTGTTAAACTACCTATATAGGATCTCTATATGAAAGTTGAAGGTTCAAAAAAGCACAATATTGTTCATGGTGACATATAAAAATCATTAAACATTAACAGATATAACTATAGAAATCAAGTTGGACCAATGGCTTCCTTGTTTGGTTTGTCAAGTTCTTTCGATTAGAAAACCATTTTCTATAACACAAGGTAAACAAACTCGTAGCCAAATTAACAATTAGTTAGCTCAACCAGTATTAACTAGTCGAAGTGTTTAAATACAAACAGAAAATCTACCTGATCTTTTCAGAATCAGAACGATCTTGTAATGATGCAACTTCAAGTTGAAGTTGAGCTCTTTCCTTTGCAACTTCATCAAGTAAACGTCTTGCTTCCTTGATTTCCGTTTCATACATCTCCTTGATGTTTGAAACCTAAAATTGGATGAATGAATAATTGATCAATCAATCTATTTGGGCACATAGCATATGTATATTACATTGGAAGGTCACATTATATTGTCAATAAAAAAAAAAAAGAGTGAAAATTTTAATAATATTATTAATGATGATTGACTATTATTTCTCAATAAACATTACTAAGATGTGATGGTCATATAATATACCATGATAGCAATTTAGATACTGTATTCCTATTTACATTTTTATCAATAGTGTTTTCTGCCTTGGAATCACTATTTCCCGGCTGAAAAGGAGCGGGCTCCCAAGACAAAAATACATATTCTTTGAGTTTACCTATGGTAGAAAAACCTCAAATAATGGAGTTTAGAATTCAGCTACCAAATATTTTTCATTTACTAAATAATCTACCATACCAATTACCTCTTTATTATTTCTACTGACGCCCTTTCTACCTTTTATCTTGTTCATGTTTTTTTTTTAAATTGCTATCACCAGCTTGTAGTATGTAGATGGAATTCAATAGCATAGAATTACAGATGCCAATATGACATGACGCAGCCAATTGTGCTCCAAGTAACTAGTAACTAGGAGCAATTCATTTACAACTCGTATTCAACAAAGTAAAATTTGTTAGGCCTAGCAGTATTGAGAGTACATTGAATCGTGAAATGGTTCGAGTTTAAAAGCCCGGAAAGCATGACGTGAATCAGTGGTTCCGAAATATAGTAACCGTATGCTACTGTAGTTCAGTGATAGTACACAATGCATGTAGCATGCATCAGAAAAAGTTTATTTAGTATTTCCAAAAGAAATTTTTATGACAGCACTGTTTTAAGTAAGAACAATGAGTAGAATAAAGCCTTTTTTATGTGCAGTAATTGTATAAAATATTATAAAATATATTAGAAATGAGATTGAGGATGTGAAATAAAGAGCTTGGAAATAGTTTAACATTTGTGTCAAGTCATCGTTAGGTAAATTACTCCAGATTCCGAAGTGAGATTATATTATTGATGATTTACTTATCACGCATGAACAAAATTCAGTTAAATTTTTCAATGTTTCAGAAATAGATAAAGCAGAAGTTATAGAAATATATTTAAACATGTAAAACACTGTTATTTGTAGATGGTTGGCCATATATAAGTTAATAAGTTAATACCCAAAAACATTTAATTTTGTGACATTTTATCCTATTCACAGATACGATTTTTTTTCCAGATTTTCTAAGTATTCTTATTCTGGTCACAGGCTTTGATAAATCTTGTAGCAGTATCCATTTTAATATTACACTTCTAATTATATCGGATACAAAATCAATCAGTATGTGAAATCATATCAATTTGCTCTTAAGAATTTTGGAATACATGATATATATCAGGGGTGAGAAACATTTTTTAGTTCAATAAGAGCCGCATGCAGCAAGTCAGAAATATGTGAGAACTGCATAATTTTTGAAATTATTATTATCATTAAATCATTTTGCATTGTAACTGTTACATTGATAATTTGGGAGATGTGCCTTTGCGTAGTGCGACACGAAACTGGCGTTTGGGCTATTGACAGCGTCAGCATCAACACGAGTAATATTCCATAATATTACAAAACTAGCTTCAGTGACATCGGATTCCTTGCCAATTGATATCATAAATTCCTGCTGTCTTTTTGTTAATAATTTAAACTCATTTAATCTGTGTTTCCTTGTTGATTTACGAGAGTAGTCTCTTAAGATATTTTTGTGATTCGTTTCGTGGTGTCATTTAGCATTGCTGACTTTATTCTGACTTAGCAGCTTATGGGAGATTAATCACAAACGTTTATTTTCTCGACTAGTGAATGCGTATTTTTCTTCCCATTCTGACTCAACAACTCTGTTCTCATATTCGTATTTTGACTTCTTACTTGAGGACATATTGCACTGTAACTGACACTAACTGCAAACAAGCTGCGATACCGGCACCGCCAATGCAGCAACAAACATTTAGCCATTGTGACATAAGTTTTGTCGCTTGACTTGATTTAAAATTCCACGCTACAACAATTTTCATACTGAAACATAATTTGTCTTAATCATTGATGAAAACTTTTTCTACCGCTAAAGTGCTACAGTACAGTTTCTATTAGTTAAATTTGGTTAATAATTAATGCTAGTGAGAAGAGCTCCCGATTGGCGGTTTGCCCACATCCAAGGGTGCTAAAATTCCTCATTCTTTTATTTGACAAAATATATTACCGGTACATATGACTATATGAGTAATAATGTAAATTATCAAAATCCAACAAATGTCAGTAATTGGCCTTTCTTCTGATATATATTCATATAATTCAGCATGATGGTAACTCATTTATTTTATCAAGTACTATAATGGAATGAGTTGTTTATATAAAGTGTTCCATTTCCACCTTTCCTCTAGACAAGATGTTAAACACAGTACAATTATTAAGGCTTTTACACTCAAATTCCCTTTCCATTGTGGTAATTTTTAACATTTCTCCGTCAATTAATTCTATGGCTTTCTATCATAATAATAAAAAGGTTTGTGTTTACCAAGTTACATTCATATTATAAGCTTAAAAGCAGGATATGTGTAAATGTATATGAGTAGCATTATTGAAGACCTGAAATATCATTCCGACATGAAAGGGTGTGACCAATTGACCATATACCCAGCAACTAGATCTATTGTGTGTCGCAAAACCATAAAATTCCAACTTTGCAGTGAGGTGTATCCTTAACCTTTTCTGATAAATAGCTAACATGAATTTATTATAAAGTCATTTAACCAAGATATAGAAAAAGAATATTAAATAACATATGTGTGTGTTCTAGATAGGCTCATACATTCATGATTATCACAATTTAGGAACAGGAGTGAGTGGGCTGGCTATGAGGGAATGGATGTCAAATCGGCATTTAAGTGATCATAAACCAATATTCAGAAATAGAAATAGTCAAATGACAAATGGAGATGAGTCAAATCATCAACATGTCCATATATGGATATTATACCATATCAATTGATATTCAACTGATTTAATCAAAGATAAAATTAACAATAGCATCATTTTGTCTAGGGAACAACTATAAAAATTTCAAGATTTCTATTCCCTAAGGTCCGTGCGATCATAAACTATATCGTAAATAAAATTATGAATGCTATAAAATAAGACAGGTGCAATAAATGTGAAAACTTAAATTTGAACACAGCTGTTGAATGTTGCTATTTGATTTTAGGAGATTGTTATAATTTTTACGACACATATATGCAAGTTGAAAACAATTACAAAAGTATTCGATTTGCTTTTTGATAATGAGGCAGTAGTTGCAGCATGCAACTTCCAATTTTGAATAAATTTTTTCAATATGTTAGAATTTGCTATTTTATTTGCTGACATCAATTGTGTGATTCATTCAACACTTCCATGTTGACCGTACATTCTTACTATCAAATTATCTCAGTGGTATTCCAAAAAAGGAATACTTCCAATGAAGGAAGCATAGAAATTTCCTAAAAAACTACACGCATGATAAATACATAAAGAGGTACAGCAAAAATTTGATGCTAAATAAGATGGTTGATCTGGCATCATAATATTAGAATTATCAAACCTCTCTGCTGCTCGTCTCTTCATGACTTGTAACTTGGATCTGCAGTCTTCTGTTTTCAGTTTCAAGTGAACGAATTTTTTCGATATATGCAGCAAGACGATTGTTCAAATTAATCATCTGATCTTTCTCTTCTCTTCTGCTTGTAACAGAAGGACTCAATGGGGTAGACGGTGACCCCTGTTGACGACTCTGCTCTCTATTAAATTCAAGGAAGCATCAAAAATACGAGTGAAAAATATAACTACCGTAATATAAGATCCAGATAGAAACACATGAGAATCACTTTTTTAAAGCTAAATATTTTTCATAAATACACAGCAAAGTTGAATTCATTTGAAAATATTTTGTTATTCAACAAAGCTGGTGTATTCTAATAAATAATTATATTAGAATATTTCACTCAAGATTAAAACTTACTTCCTGCGGCTTTGTTGTCTTGGTGTACTCATATTGATGCTGTCTTGTGTTGTACCGTTGTTAGGTAAAAAAGATATTTGCTACAAATGTATATAACCTACAAATTTAGGTAAACTGGAACAATAAAAGAATGCTTATAAAAATAAAGTTGTTCAAACAAAACAGAGGAAATACCAATAGGTCAAGGGCAAAAGCAAACTAATGTTGGCTTAAATAGTATTGGTCCAACTATGCACCTTTCTACACTACTCTTCACAACATACGATATTGAGACCGCCAAAACAAAAATATTTGAGTAAAACGTAATGGCGCAAAATGGATATACTGGATACTTTACCAAATACATCATCGAAAATGTTTAATAAAACAGCAGTAACCCGAATATTGTTAATTCAAAATATGTAAGTTTTGACCTTTTAACAATACAAATTTATTTATTTGTCGCTTTCAGCAACGATATATTTAATTCAGGGTGGTCCAAACCCAGAGTGGCCCGCGGCTCCATTATCTGCGGCCAGCATCGCTTTCAAGGAATAATCAAAAAATCGCATTTGCTGTTATTTCGTCATAAAATTAACCAGAGAAATCATTTGATATATTGTTACACCACTGATGTCCCTGAATTGATTAGTGTTATGGTTAGTGCTCTGGTTATCTGAGCCAACTAGCGAAGTTGAATGATGTGCTTGGCAGTTCAAATTGTTATCTGGCTTTCTATTTTTTTGGTCGGGAATATGTGCAAACATTTTTGGCATCGATAGAAACCTAAAAATCGAATGCGGATTCTATTAGCATAGGTTGGCTATGCCAGATAACTAAATATCAATGTTATAGCCTACCAATACAATTTATGCCGGGTGTTTTTTGCAATCAGCCAGAACAGCATTACAAAAAATGCTGCCTATATGTCACAAAATTTGATAATTACCCTCCTGTACATCAAATTTGGTAATCAATCAATCTGCAGTTAATTTATAAACGTGAATTTGAAATCTGACGAATTCAAACAAATTTTCAATTTTAGGATTTTGTTTTGGAAATCTTATAGACGTTCGAAAGTCCTTACATTTGCGGAAGCACATTTTCCGTTATTAAGAGTTTGAAATCTTACACTAAATGTATATATATCTCACTTTTGTGCTAGTTTCAGTACGTTTTTTGGTGGTTTTTGCATGTTTTATGTTGTGGCCCGCGAACAATGCAAAAATAATTTTGTGGCCCCCGAAGCAGACCACCCTGATTTAATTAATAATATCCAATAAAGCTGTAAGTAATTTGATATGCAATTTTATTTTGTGCTAGTATTGTAATAAAACATATCATTTATTGAATTTTTGGGGTGTGTGCCTCATTTCATACCATATGCTATTATGCTTTTTCAACTTTAACTAAAAGTACTTGGGTGCTTTAAGATTCTAACTAAAGATTGATTAATTGTGATTGATAAATAAAACCGTAGTAGGGATGTACCTGAAAATTTCGAATTTGTCTGAGATAATAAAATAGAGTTTGTAATTCATTTTCATTCGTTACTATGAGGGTTACTATGAGGATGCTGATTCGTTACTATGTTCATGCTTTGTTTACTGCATGCTACAAGGTCATTTCGAGTATTTTTTGGGAGCCATATGCCTTCACCAAAAGAGCCATATACGGCTCGCGAGCCATGGGTTCCCGACCTCTGCTGTAATGTATAATAGATTGTTGTTGTGAGAAAACACCATTACCATTTTATCAAATAATACATTTCCTGTTCTGTAAGAATTGAGGTTTCAGCGTTCTATAACTAACGTTCCTAACCCCCACCTGACTACGCCACCAAAAAATTATGTCATCACGACGTCACAGTGGCGTAATAAGGCCTATCAAATTATGCGGATGGTCGTCCAACATGCGTAGATGAACACTGGATCACCTGAAATCTAGCAAATGAGTTCGTTATCGGCGGCGCAGATGCCATTTCGGGCGATCGTAATTATAGACGCCGTATACCGGTAATTTTGTGACGTAATTTTTGGATCGCATAGTACTGTAGTAAGGTGGGATGAGGAATAACATATGTAAAATTCGGTATGATACGCCCACTGGAAGTACTTGTGGTACTAAACTATACTAGACCCAAAAAAACAATAATAGCCGACACGATTAAATAAAGGTTTAAGAACGTTTCGCCGCCTTTAAAACGTTCTGACGTTTGGTCATATCATGTTACTGTATTACATTACAAACTATTTAAGCATATATTGTAACCTTAGGCAGTTAGGCCTATCGAAAATATACCAGTTAGTTGAATTCTCATTTATTTTTTAAATAAACTATACACTATAAAACCATTTATTCCTGTAGGCCCAATAGCAAAACGTAACCCAATAACGCACGCAATTTGACAGAATACGGTATCAATTCTGCAATTGCAGAATTGGTTGACCGTGTTCTGTAGTCACAGAACCGCGCCATAAATACATCAAATTGCTGAACCGTGGATACTGTCCTGGCTTTACTGCTCTAAAAGCTACCAGTGCTTCTTCCTATAATTTTTTATTGGTTACACTTACACTATTCTGTCCAATTAATGCTGTCATTTACTGCTTGTAGAGATTATTCCTCGGCGCCGCCTCGTGCAAAGGCGCGAAGAGAGCCGCATTCACGCGTCCATTGGTTGGAACTATTATAAATACTGGCGTAACATTCCGCTGTGTACTATCGCCGCCCCGTGGAGAGTTGCTAACTGCCCAGTCATTTTTGCAAGTCATGCGCAGTTTTTCTTTTATGGACACGAAATGGTTCTCAGAATCGTTTTGTTATTGGACACGTAGTGGACATAACGATCGTTTCAATATTATGTTGCTGTTGTTCTTGTTCTTGTTGTTCTTGTTCTTTGACACGTTTTTAAAAAGTCGCTTTTCTCTTCGAATACTGGACCAATTGCTTTGAAATTTTCAGTGGTTGAAGATTAATTTTTTCGCTAGAAGGCTATTACTTTTGTTTATTCTTAAATTTTATATGAATCCTATGAGATATGATATTTCATACAAAATTTCGCGGTATTTATTTTTACTCATGGGAACACTGTTTTACACTTATTTCAAGCGGTTTCGCGATCGATTGTCTTGCTCAGTACTACAGCTACTGTAGGTCGGTACTGGTAAGTTGCCATACCGGTGCCGTAACGCAGTGAAATTGACTTATTCCTTCCGCGGTATTACTAATGCTGCAATGCAAGTTTTATAGCCTATCGTATGCGGAACGGAATATCAGACCTACAGGTTCGGTACCGGTACTGGTAGCTCAGTACGTAAGTACGATACTGGTACTGGTGCCGGTACCGGTGTCTTACCACAATGAAATTACCGTAACTTATTCTTTCACGGTCCTACCAGTGCAGTAATGCAAGCGTTGTAGCACTTGTAGCCTACTATATTTGTTTATTTTGATGAGAGTCTACTGGAAACAACATAAAATTTGAAAGGGAAGAATTGTTCTGTGATCAATTATCTGTCCTAAAGTGTAAATAACATAAAATTTGCAAGGGAACAACTGTTCTGTGATCAATTACCGTATATGGCCTACAGTGTACAGGTAAGATGCTGGCTGACTGCTAACCGGTACTGGTAGCTCAGTACGTAAGTACGATACTGGTACTGGTGCCGGTACCGGTGTCTTACCACAATGAAATTACCGTAACTTATTCTTTCACGGTCCTACCAGTGCAGTAATGCAAGCGTTGTAGCACTTGTAGCCTACTATATTTGTTTATTTTGATGAGAGTCTACTGGAAACAACATAAAATTTGAAAGGGAAGAATTGTTCTGTGATCAATTATCTGTCCTAAAGTGTAAACAACATAAAATTTGCAAGGGAACAACTGTTCTGTGATCAATTACCGTATATGGCCTACAGTGTACAGGTAAGATGCTGCCTGACTGCTAACTCAGTACCGCTTGACACGTTTTTAAAAAGTCGCTTTTCTCTTCGAATACTGGACCAATTGCTTTGAAATTTTTAGTGGTTAAAGATAAAAATTTTCTCCAGAAGGCTATTACTTCTTTTTTCGCTATGACGTCATCAAAATTATGTGACTCTACGTGTCCATATATTTGAGCATAGCTCTCTTGTTCTTTTTGTTGTTGTGAAAAATCCCATTTCTCTCAACTACTGGATCAATTACTTAAAAATTTTCAGCCGCGAAAGATTGTTGTTGTCGCATGCGCGCTATGGGCTATGGCCAGTGGTGGGATTCAAATTTTTTGTCAGCCGGTTCCATCATAGAAGTCATATTTTTCGGCAGGTTATGTTATATGTTTTTTAGTAATGCTAACCAGTTTACTGATCTCATAAAATTCCGCGCGATGGTTCTATAGAACCGGAGCGAACCGACTGAATCCCACCACTGGCTATGGGATTCTTCTTCCAATCTGAATTTTAGTGTGATGATGTCGCCAAAATCAAAAACATTGGTGTGGAGCCGCATCAAAGATCGTTACGATCTGGCGGTCAGACGGAGTCAGGAAAACGATGTTACAATGTGAATGTAAAAGCACATTAGAGAGTAATTCTCTAAATGAAAGCTTGGTGTTTAGATTATTTTTTTTTTGCAATTCGCTAAAATTTTGTTTTGTATGCACTGTCTGTGTCAAAATTATACATTATATTACGTAATAACAGATTCATATTTTTTGTTGTATTCGTTTCAATATTTTGTCGCCGCCCGCCGGTACATTTTATCGGTCCGCCGATGCAGAGAGGTCTAAAATTCTACAGAAGACCCCTAAACGTTAAAACATCTGTTAAAGGAAAACTAGTTTTCATCAAGTTTATTTCAACATTGAAGTGCTGTATACATATTTCTGCTTTCGAGGTAGATGGTCTGTCGAATTCACGTTTAGATCCACCCATCATTAGGTATATATTGAAAATCTCATTAATAATGGTATTGGCAGGATAATGGTAACGCCGGCATCAGGGACTACGAACATGGTTTTGTGTGACTAAAGTAGTAGAACAGCCTTCAACACTAGTTCACACGAATAAGCTAATATTTGGTGAAATATTTAATTGTAACTTGAATGAATTAAAACTACATATTGAAATTAAAATAATGTGTAACTCAAAATTGGTCAAAGAACTACGGTAT